TTTGTTTTGCTGTCGCATCCCAACTATTTGGGTTCACAGTGTTGCCCTTCAGACTGGCTACTGCTCCGAGAGTTTTTACCAAGTATATGGCTCCTGTCTGTGCCTTCTTATGGCTGTGGGGTGTGCAAATTTACCCTTACATTGATGACTGGTTGCTAGTCTCCCAAACCAGAGAGGGACTTCTTGCCTTGATATGTACGACCTGCGCCCTGCTAGAGGATCTTGGACTATGTATTAATACCGAGAAATCTTCTCTTCTCCCGGTACAGACGATTACTTTCATCGAAGCCTGACTAGATTCTACGGTGGCAAAAGCCTTCCTTCCTTGGGACAGACAACAGACTCTTGCTCGACACATCCATCAAATGCGACGAGCCATGACGGTTCCTGCCCAGTCCATCCAGAGACTTTTGGGGCATTTGGCTGCATCAGTTGCCATGGTCCCACATGCCAGACTTCGCCTTCGTCCTCTGCAGCTTTTATTCAACAAAATGTTTCGGCCACAGAGGGATCTACCAACAAAGTTGATTCGGATTCCATCCTCTGTTCTCCACTGTCTGCTCTGATGGTCAGTTCTGGCCAACCTAACCGTGGGGGTTCCATTCCAACCACAATGCCCTTCAGTGACTCGGTACTGATGCATCCCTACTGGGATGGGGAGCAGTGTGTTCAGATCTACGCACTCAAGGCGCTTGGAATCGCCGAGAATCCAAGAATCATATCAACTTCTTGGAACTCCTGGCTCTACGTTCATTTGAAGATGTTCTTTGCCAGCGAGTCGTTCAGATAACTTCAGACAACGTTGCTACGGTCTTTTATCTGAACAAGCAAGGCGGGACAAAGTCTCCAACTCTGGCCAGACTAGCGATGCAAATCTGGAAATGGTGCATCCCGAGAGACATTACTCTAGTGGCAGTACACCTTGCCGGCACGGACAATGTGGAAGTCGATCTTTTGAGCAGACACATGTCCACATTCCACGAATGGGAACTAGACCCCCAGACATGCGACCACCTCTTCCATCGATGGGGTTTCCCAGACATAGACTTATTCGCCACCCGACAGAACAGGGTATGCGAGACTTTTTGCTCGAGAGCCAGAATCAGACAGGGATCATTAGGGGACGCCTTCTGACTTTTTACGCTTTTCCTCCGATTCCCCTCATTATGAGAGTGATATCGAAGATAATCCACAACGAGGCCACGGGACTGCTCATAACCCCTTGGTGGCCACGTTAGGTCTGGTTCTCAACACTTCTTCACATTTTTCAAGCAGAATATCTTCATCTTCCACTCATTCCGTATCTCATAACCCAGTGAGGAGGCACAATTCACCATCCAGATTTAACGTCATTGAAATTGACAGCCTGGCGAATCCAATAACAACTACCTTGGTACCAATGGCATTTACAAATGACTTGGATCCTGTTCCCGGGTCCAACATGTTGCTCCACACTTCAAATCCATTCGTCCTCCCCACATCATCAGATTCAGCGAACGTTCCATCGGACTCAACAACTTTTCCTCCAGACATTCAGCACATTCTTGACTCTGCCTTAAAACCATCAACACGGAAGTCATACGCAGCTAAGTGGCAGCGATTTTCTACTTTTGCCGAGTCTCGTTCATTTCCTCCACTCTCTGCATCCATACATCAAATCCTTTAGTTCCTATTAGAACTTCACCGTTCCGGACTGAAGCCGTCTTCTATAAAAGTGTATATGGCAGCAATTTCCTATTACCGTGGCACAGTTCAAAGCTCGCCCATTTTCTCTCAACCACTTATAAAGAGATTCCTTAAGGGACTTTATAACCTTAACCTGACGGTTTGACCAGTGATGCCTACGTGGAGTCTTTCTGTGGTCTTACAAGCGCTTACAAGGGCTCCTTTTGAACCCTTGGTGACAATCAATTTACATCTTGTCTCTTGGAAAATGGCATTCCTTGTTGCAGTAACATCGACTCGATGAGCTAGTGAACTCTGTGCTCTGCGGGTAGATCCTCCATATTTAAATTTCCACAGGGAGAAAGTTGTTTTACGCATGGATCCATCCTTTCTTCCTAAGGTGGTCACCTCTTTTCACATGGGACAAGACATTGTCTTACCTGCCTTCTTTCCATCTCGTACAAATCTGCTAGAGAGATCCTTGCACACATTTGACGTATGGCGCTGCCTGGCCTTCTACAGATCAAGGACTGAGTCTATTCGACGTTCCAACAGGCTTTTTCTCAAATACTCTGAGCAAAATCAGGGCCTTCCAGTTACCCCTCAAAGACTCTCCAAGTGGATAGTCCATACAATTACCCTCTCCTATCAACTGGCTAGGATTGACTTGCCTACAATGCCAAGGGGTCATTCTACTAGAGCTGTTGCCACGTCTTCTGCCTTTGCGTCAGGAGTTCCAATTGATGATGTATGTAGAGCTGCCACGTGGGCTACTCCGTGTACATTTGCTACACATTATCGGCTGGATGTTCGTGCCAGACAAGACTGCTCCTTCGGTAGAGCTGTTCTCTCGTCTATTCTTCGCTAAAGACACCTTCCTCCTCCAGTAAGAGTAAGCTTGCTAATCTACCCATATGCATGATGCACAGAGGCCACGACGAAGAAAAGCAGGTCGCTTACCTGTAACTGATGTTCTTCGAGTGGCCATCTGTGCAGTCACACAATCCACTTGCTGGCCCCGCTCAGTGTCGGTGAGTGGAAATATTTTCATTGGTACCGTAACGTTTTTTCTTTCATGGTACCGATATTATCTATAGTAGAGATTCTTTCTTTCCACATGGAGGCGAACGTTCGGTCTTCAAAGACTGAACAAAATGGCGGACGCTCCGCTCTATATAACCTATAGGGGGGAGGGGGAGCGGAGCTTCCCGCCAAAACCATTAGCTATCAATCTTCCGGCCAAAGGCACTGCACAGGCGCAGCACCCATATGTGTGACTGCACAGATGGCCACTCGAAGAACATCAGTTACAGGTAAGCAACCTGCTTTTATCAATGCATCTTCCACCAGTTTTCACTCCTCCTTCCTCTGAACCTAATCCTGCTTGCCTTATGATATTTTTTGTGGACTGATTGAACAGACAGATAGAGAAAATATATTCTTTACTGATGTATTTGCCAATAAAAAACCATTCTGTTTCTCCATATACTGTGCTAACAATAGCTTCTTGTCCATGGTAGGCTATGCATCAGGACAATCAAATGCTGAGGCACCATAGCTTCTCATAAGCCACAGTCAAAGGCTTTGTTGTAGTCTATAAAGCATAGACTGATCTTCTTCCAAAACTTTCTGGTATATTTCAATAGCCAGCGTATATTTACAATATGATTGCAAGTGCCTCTTCCTTTTTGGAATCCAGTATGAACGTCAGGCATTTCTCGCTCCATATAAGGTAAAATCCTTTGTTGCAACACCTTGAGGTTTACTTTACTTGCATGGGAACTTAGCGCAATGGTCCTTTAATTGTTGTACTCCTTAGCATCTCTTTTCTTGGGGATTGGAATAACATATTATTCATAATAATTTTGTTACACTGCCTGATAGCTGAAGCTCCCTGGGCAGTTTAAAACACATTTCCAAAATGTGGGTCATTATTTCCATATTTGAATAGTTCTTTTGGTACCGTATGTGCTTCAGCTGCATTATTTCTCTCAAGTACTTTGAGAGTAGCTTTCACTTTTCTGTCATTGCAGGTTCTTCCTCAGTGGATTCCTCTTTGAAGGAGCCTGTCATCCTTTCATCACTCTTGTACAGGTCTTCCATGTTTTGTTTCCATCTTTATTTTCTCCTGCTCAGATACAGGTCATTGTAATAGTCCTTTTTGTCCCTACATGTTAGTCCCTGAAAATTTTCATTCAGGATTCTGTCCCTATTTCTGTCACCTTTAATTTTTGCTTAACACATTCCCTTAGCAATTGTGAGTTTCTTCCATCATCCACTGGGGCATTTATTTTCTACAGGAATTGTCTTTTTGCATTCTTCCCTAATAATGTCTTTGATTTCAATACACATTTATTCTGGTTCATGGTCAGCTGAAGTTCAAGAATGCAGATCTGTTCATCATATTGACATTACATTCTTCAGGAATGTTATATAAGCTGTATTTTGGCAGCTTTTGCCAAAATACAGCTTATATTATGCCATATTATGCTTCTATTAGTCATGTTTTTCAGCTTTACTCTGATTTTTTCTTTTTAATTTTAAGACCTCACAGTCAATACAAGAATCTGCTCCTGGTCTTGCTTTGGCAGCAGGCATACAGCAGTATATGTACTTGTGGTTTGCCCTTCCCCAGTAGCTAGTTGAGTGCCTTCTAACCTGGGAGTCTCATCTTCTTGATTCATTTTGGATTGTTTCATCATAGAGTTTTCAAGGTAAGAATAATCTGAAGTGGCTTACTATTGCCGCCTCCTGCACAGTTAGCCTGAGTGTCATTGCTGTTGTCTGTGAAAGATCCTCCGCCAGTGCATCCTTTAACTACTGCTGCCACCCGGTAGCTGCCCTTCAGGTGTTTCTCTGCCCCCATCACCATTAAGGATACCCATCCTCTTCTGCTGATGTGACCGTTCCTCCTGAAAAAGGGAGATGCTTCCTAGTCTGGAATCGTTGCTTTAACCATTCCACTGTTGGCAGCCCTCCTACGAGAGAATCTGGCCTTCTGTCTGCATTGCTCACAGCCTCTCTGACATTCTCAAAGCCACTCATCATGGTAAGGTTTTAAAAATAGCACCTTGTTTGATTTAGGCTATAATCCTATGCACTTTTCACTGGGAATGGCCCCCATTTAATACAGTGGCCCTTACCTCTGAACTAACATACATTGGATTGTGGCGAGACTAGCTAGTGGTTGAAGAAGCCTGGTTCGCACTTTTTTTCCTACCATTGTTTGTAGAAGTAAGCCAAAAATGGGATATTTTTAACATGGTCATGTTGACAATTCCTATATAATATGATTTCTGGAAGGAATAAACTCACTATGCTTGTTTCTCTTGCAGGCTAAAGATGCTTTCGAGCAGAGTATTAATCTCTCCGTTACAGGTTATTTCAGGTATTTGATATGATCTCATGATTGATTATGTGAAGTGAATTCTTAGAAAGGATTATTACCACATGACAGAACATGAAGAATAATTAAGAACTGCCTTAACATGAATGACTAAGCTTATACTTTAAGACATTGTAGAAACGTCTCAGATTTAAACTTCCCATATTGTGACCAGTCTTGTGGGTGCAGGTCCATAAAGAATTTAATAGAACTACCAGAGGTCAGATAAATTATCATGAAGTTTAGTCTGAGAATTCCTTAGATCAGGGTCCAGTACTTGTATGCGCATGACACCCTCCAACTGACAGGCCCAGCTTTCTCAAGACACCAGCAACAAACAGCCACAGATCAGATTTCTTAGTGAACCCAAATTTAAATAAACTCAGATCATTCAAACAGGAACCAGAAACTGTGTTCAAAGTCAAGCAGCATATTCCAATAAGGCATTCAGAGACATGGGATTCAAGGAATGTTAGTTCTTGGTCCAAGGAAAGCTGCATCTGGCACCACTGATATTGTACCTGCAAACCTCTTTTACTGGTATGCAGGATGTTATGTGGGGGCAGAATGACTGGAATGCCTTGCTTATTAGTCCAGACTTGTGGAGAAGTTAGCCAGGAGTAGAGAACTCCACCTAACCAATTGGTTTCCTCTTGCTTTTTCAACCACTGGCAATGCCTAGGAAATCAATTGGTCATTCCTCTTCCTTAGCTGAGTCTGCCTCCTGGGCTCTTTTGGAAGAATTTCCTCTGGCTGAGGCAACTCAGCTGTTTTTTCCCTGGCTGCAGTTGAAAACGAGTAGCTTCTTCTCCCTCACCATGATCTACTAAAACCAGGCAGACAAAAATTCACAGCACCCTGAAATCCAAACCCTGGGTAGATCCTAAATCCAGAGAGGGGTTGTAAGTCCTATGTCAGTGGGGCTCCTCATCCATTGTAGCAGTTATTTTGAGCTTTATAGGAATAATTAGTGGTGGTCAACCCATGCAGAGGATGGAGGCCAGCACTGTGGATAGCTACTGTTAATCTCAAAACAGAAGCTGCAGTGGATGAGAAGCCCCGCTGACACAGGAATAACTAGTCTCCCGTCAGTTTTATCTCTGAATCAGACTCTTCCTCTGAGAATGGGATAGGGAAGAGATGGCAATAGCTTTAAAAAGAATTAGGCAAATTAACAGGTAGATCTTTCTATGTGTGTCAATAATGACAACTAGATGGAACATTTGTAGTGACAGCAGCTGGAAACACGAGACAGAGTGGGGAGTAGTTTGTGCATTTCCCGGAGGTTACCTGGCTGGCTGCGGCTGCCAGGAGCATTCTGGACTGGATGGACCTTTGCTCTCCTTGAGCAGGGCTGCACCTGGATACTACAATGCAGGTGTAGGCAGATTTCAGGCTTCTTGAATCTACATTTTGCTTTGCTTTGCTTTTTTACGAAAACAAAGCCCGACCACTGAAACACACAAATCAGAACTACGTACAAAGTAGAGGGAGTGTCTGTAGTAGAGTCTGTTACATATGGCACCCATGAGCCATTCACTATATTCACAAATCTACATCCGGATTAGGGCTTCTAACACAAGCTCTCAAAATGACCACACAAGCAAATCATTTATACTCCTGTTTCATTGGCCAGGAGTGTGGAGGCTAAGAGACAAGCAAGTAGCACAAGACTACTCATAGCAAAGACTTCTTAAAACTCTGTTTTATTTACTGTTCAGAGTCAGAAAGCATTGGCTCTTGTAAACTGGAAGGAGACCTACCAGGAGATGCCAATCTGTCTTCTGCCTGCCCCTGCTGTGATGCTCTAACCAAGCAAAATGACAGTGCACCCCCGCACATGTCTGCAGGGAAATGGGCCACACTGAATTCCATTGGACTTGTTCCAGAGCAAGTCTGTAGGGTGGCAACCTTAGTGTCACCGCATTGTCGTGACTGGACTCTTGCCCGTTTGTGCCAATTGAGACATCAGCTCAGTATTTTAGACTTTTTATTTTGATTGCCAACCTTATTGCCATTCCCAGAGCTACTAACATTCCATACTTCTTGCACTTCGTTGCTTCTTCCAGAGGTTATGAAGCAAATATGGATTGGGAGAAAGGAGAAGGCCACCCATTTGAATATTTTATTTATGGAGCGGCCTGCACAGAAGTTGAAATAGACTGTCTGACTGGAGATCACAAGGTAACTAATGGATGTTAGTTAGGACTGGGATGAAAAGGACAGCTGGGTTTCTGCAGAACTTGCAAAACACTATCAAGTTTTTTGAGCTCTGTCCTAGCTCGGCTGGAGGCCTAGGGGAAAGTGAAAAAACTCACAGATGGTTCTGTAGCCGATTAGTAAAGCTGGGGTCCCCAAATTTTTGGGCCAGTATACATACTGTGAATTTCAAGAGAGTGTTGTGGATGTTCTTACAAAATGGCTGCCATCACTGGGCTTGTTCATTCCTAAAGTGGCTAACATTCCAAGTCACAAACAACTTACCAGATGGTAAGCTGGTGCAACGAAAAGGAAGGTAATCTGACCAAGAGCCTAAATACAAGACAAAAGTAGAATCTGAGATTCAAAATGCAAAACCATTCTTGTGAACTCAAATAAGAGAAGGTGCTGGAAGTTAGTACTTTGCTTTGCAGCATACCAGCCACCATTTAAAAAAAAAGTTAAGAATATCTTAAGAAATAAAACATGGATTAGAAGAGACAGGGAGTCTGGCAGGCTCCAAGAAGAAGCAAGGAGGCCGCTGCAGCAGCAGATATTCCGGCATCCCTGTCCCCACTGGAGGCTGCCTGTTCTTCTTAAATCCATGTGTGACTGAAGGAAAGCAGCATCTTTGGAGACGTCTGAGACTGCAGGGACCGCCTGAGAAGGCATTTAAGGCAGTGCCAATGGATCTCCCTGAAAAGGAGAAAACAGGGTGCATCTGTTGAGGAATAAATTTAATCTCTCATCTTTCTGCAACTTGGCAGACTGTTTGCTTTAAAGGGCTTTCATTTGGCACTCCTGTTTCACTATTCAACAGCTTCCTCCTTTCCCAGTTCCCAGATAATCAGCACAGAAGCAGGAACCCAAAATCACATGCAGTAACTTAAAGCATAATCTAAAGGTGATACAATGTAGGACACATTCATGCACAATACACAAGTCTCCCCCACCGCCAGCACACCACCAGCACTTGCTCCAAGCCTGGAATGAACACCACAAAAAAAGCAAAATTGCAACACCTGGGGAGCGACTACTCATGCCAAAACAATGTAGTGTAGGTGCCACTTGAGCTTCCTTAAGCTAACAGATGAAAGGCCTTATTTTTATGGGAGAAACTACAATGTAATTAACTCATTGTGGGCAGGTAAAAGAATACTCTGATTGTAGGTATAATCAACATTCAGTCATAGGTTAACATTAAATAATTTATGTTCACATCAATGTTTATGATTCCATTCCCATGTGAATTTTCTCATGGAAGGGGAATCGGGTGCTTCCAGATAGAGAGCTCCTAGTATTATGCAGCATTATGCAGCGATCCCATCTTTTCTTCCTTGATAGATTTTCCAGGTAAGAAGGAAGGGGGAAAGACAGACTAAGAATGTGAAATCTTGGGCTACAAATTAAAGATTATGTTGGCTTGACCTTCTGTAAAATACTGTGTTTAAAACAGGACAATTGCAGAATAAAATTTAATCTAGAAATACCCATAGAGTTTATTGAAAGGTAATAGGAACACACTTAAGAGTGTTCAAAGCAGTGCATTCTCGTTCTTTAACCTTAAATATCTAGGACAATTCAAAATCAAGGACTTGTTTGGTTGACTCTTATGGACAAACTACACATTACCTTAGCTGTATGTAAGTACTACAGTGCTCTTACTATGCTACAGTATGAAAGAGTGCAATCACAATACATCACACTAGACCCATACTATTCAACTACACTATAGTGTGTTAGGACTATGCCACATAGTTCTGTACAGTTCAAGTTCTATGTTTCATTAGCCGTGTAGTTCTGGTGTTGAGGCAATGATTGTTCTTTCACCAATTACCATAACGGGAGGATTGTTCAGGACTTCATGTTGGGTGTGGGGCATTAACCCTTTGTCACATGCAATTTTCCTGATCCAAACCAGGGTACCATACAGGCCCTTTGTGGGGGGAAAACTTGCACTCAAGGACAGAACTATTGGGTAGCTTGGTTCTTGGCCCCTGCATGTCACCAGGGTTCCTAGCTAGCATTATTATTTTTCATTCAAAGGATATCAGTCCTATCTACTTCTAAAAGGGCAGGAGTATCAAGAATTCGACTTTAATGTAAATATTAAATATTGCTATTAACCTTAATATGAATTTGGCTTGGAAAACAAGATAACAAGATAAAGGCTGCAGTCCTAAGCATAGTTACTATTGGAATTGTCCATGAATTCTGTGGGGCTTATTTCTAAGGAAATGGGTTTAAGTTAATTGGAATTTCATGAACCTGGCACAAATATGTCTTACCTGTGTATCAGTATTTGAAGCCACCAATGGTAGTTGTTGTTCGATCAGTACCATCTTATAACTTGCACTTCATTGGCAGAACATCAAAACAGATATTGTTATGGATATCGGACGCAGCATCAACCCTGCAGTAGATATAGGTCAGGTATGTCTTAATAATTTTTCTAATGTTTGTTTTTGTGATTAAACTATACAAAAGAGTCTACACTGTCTGGTTGGCAGAATCTTTACAGTAACATCCAAAGAGAGAGCCTGCAGTGAATGGCCATCCTGTTTTAAGAGTGGCAGTATTAACACCAGAAAGAATTGTTGCTACCTCAAAACATCAGTTGCACAGCTAGATGCTTTCAGTTTGATGGCGGCATTCTTTTTTGTCAGCCGTTTAGAGGCACAAAAGAAGACGGAGAACATCCAGTCCTAAATCTCTGGGCAGGTTGCTAAATGGGTCGAGACGTTGATGTTACAGCCCTCTACTACCATAACTCTTCCCTTCACTGTACTGGGTTTCTTTCACACTCAGAGCCTGGTGAAAGAGGGAGGAGAAGGCAGACAGAGATGAGTTGCGGAAGATGATCTAAGCACGTAACCCCCTTGTCCTTTCCTTCAATTTCTGCTAAAACTGTAGTCCTGATTGGCAGCAAATATGGAATTGAGAATCCTGTGTTTGTCATCAAATTCTAGTTCTAGCCTTAGATGGATACATCTCTTCCCTTTGCTCTTTCTGCTTTCAGTGCAGATCCAATTATTTATTTTAGCAAACACCACTATAAGGACCAGGCAAAGATAATATTTAGCTTAGAAAAAAGATGAGTAAGGGGCAACATGACAGAGGTGTACAGAATAATGCCAGGCGTGGGGAAAGGGAATACAGAAGCATGTTTCCCCCTTTCCCATAAACCTCAGGTCATCTTACGAAGCTGATTGGAGGCAGAATCAGGAGATAAAAGGAAGTACTTCTACATGGAATTTACTTCAATGAGAGGTAGTGATGGCCACCAATTTGGACTGGCATAGTTGTGGAGGAGAAGCGATCAATGGCTACTAGTCCTAATGGCTGTCTGTTAGCTCCCGCATCAAGAGCAGTATGGTTCTGTATGCCATGTGTGGGGGAACTTGGGCAGGAGGGCGATGTTGCACTCTTGCCTTGCTGAACCCAGGAACGCCAGGTTGGCCACTGTATGAAGAGAATGCAGGACTAGACAGAGCCCTGGTCTGATCCAGCAGGGCTGGCCTTATGTCCTTTTGTTAGTGGATTCTCGGGAGGGCCCTGCTAGCCCCTTCCCTTTCCCTGCAGGAAGGTGGCGAGCCAAGGCCCTCAAGGGGACCGGGGCAGCTGCTGCCCCAGTGCTCTTTCATTCTGTTCTGCTGCTGCCCTTCCTGCCCTCTGTGATGCCCTAGCCACAGGGGCCGAAAGGGACAAGAGAACAGAAAAAATACTCTCTTTCCAGGGTTGGTACCTTCCAACTGGAAGGACCATCTCCACACTCTTTACCCCTTTCCTGACAAACCGGGAAGACAGAAAGATGAGAGATGGAGTGCATCAAACAAATCAGGTCCCCCTTTGTAGGAGCAGTTCCCCCACTATTTTGCAGTAACCCTAAAATCTGGCATAATTCCCCATGCAGCACATTGATGTCTAAAATCCTCATTTCTGGAGATTTTTCTGCGCAGCTCATTCTACCTACTGCTTCTAAGCACCTTCTAGGCCTCAGAAGCATCAGAAGCACCTTTGTTTTGCTAACCCTAACTCTTCCCCAGATTTCCCTCATAACCCTAAAATCTGACATAAGTCCCCATGCAGCACACCAATTTCTAAAATCCTCACTTTCCAGAGATTTTTCTGCCCAGTTCATGCTATCAGCCCCTTCTAAGCACCTTCCAGGCCTCGGAAGCATCGTAAGCACCATTGCTAACCCTAACCCCACCCTTGCAAAGACTGGGAGGTGCTCCATTCCCTGGCGTCATGAGAGCAGCTGTGTGGCATCAGGGCTGCCACTCTGAGCCTTTCAGTTCTTTCAAGTTTGGAGAACCTGCCTCCTTCGCCCAAGGTCAGGATTTTCCTGAATGGGTTTTATCGAATAGAGGGGTTTGCTGACAGTGTCACAGTGTCTATGAATCCCCTCTTCGTTGCTGTTTATCATTTACTTTTTAGCCTTCCCATCAATCAGAGCACCGCCTTTGCAGAATTCTGTTCTGCTTTGCCAAAATTCTTGTTTTTGCTACTAGGAGGAGCAGCTTGATTTTTCACTAGAGCCTGTAGGTTAACATTGCTTCATATTTCTACAAATAGCCATTGCATTGTCTGGAACAAAATCCAGTGCCTAAGTTCCATTTCTTCCTCCACATCCAGAAATGCAACCTAACCCTTACTGCGATGAAGAACATACTGAACCACAAAGATATATTGACATAAATCACAAAGAGATTAAACCATGGGTCCTCAAACTATGGCTCGTGGGCCGGATTTGGCCCACCATGCTGATTTATCTGGCCCACTTCGGAGGCTGCAACAATCTCCAAGCGAGTCCGAAAGCTTTGAGCCAGCACAGGCATTCACTGAAACTGAGTAGAGAGCCAGCACATACGCTTAATTGTAAAAGCTCAACTGCGCATGCACTGGCTCTCCCCCGCCACACACACACACGCATATACAGAGCGGGAAATACGGAGCGTCTCTCTCTCTTCCAAGGAGGGTAGAAGAGAGAGAGAGCTGAAGATGCTAAAAAAGGATTGAAGGTAAGAAAAATATAACTTTTTAAATCTTAGTCCCTCTGAGCATAACCGTTTGCATTAAATCAGCTTGTTCATTTTCCCTCTGTCTGCTGGCCAGCCTGAGGCTCTTGTGAAATTTTCCTCTCCACACTTCCTTGTTGAGAAACAAGGCTGGGAGGGGGGGTCACTTTTGCTGTTTCTTTGGGGGTTTCTTTAACAACAATCCCTTGGTGGAGCTAATTGTTTATCCACTGTCCACCCCACAGAATTGTCTGTTTGGGGCTTTCTGTTCGCTTGTTTTTAAGGAGTAAAACTTGCTCTGATTGCTCTTTAAATTGGCGGCGGCGGCAGTGTGAGGCCCTTGCAAAATTTTCTTCTCCACACTTTGCTGTTTCTTTGGGGGTTTCTTTAACAAATTTTTTCAAACTATAGTCCACCCCCACCAGCAGTCTGAGGGACAGTGAACTGGCCCTCTGTTTAAAAAGTTTGAGGACCCCTGGATTAAACAGATGACAACATAAAACCTGCCCCTTGATCTGCTACTAATGTTACTAGATTCATTAGACAGGACAGTGAGATTTTTACGTTGCTGCTGCTAGTGATCAATTAATCTTACATTTATTGATAACTGTAATCTTTTTGTTAAAAACTGGCATAGTTTCAAAGCCTAACAATATAGAAATGAATAATTAAGATATGGCATGTTGCACAAATGCCTAAGCTTGCTTACATATGAAATTAAGAGAAGGAAGGTGAATATTTGTGAAAGTAAGGCATTTATTTATACAGTTTTGTACGTTATATTACAATATGTGTGTGTCTGTATACCATATTTCATTTTGCAGTTATGTTGTATACTACATCATCTAAGGTTTGTATTGTTAGATTTAAAAAGCAGACAGTGCTTCCCAACAGGACACTGTCAGTGAGAACTTTTATTATTGAATTGCATTGTAAAATATATGAGGACTCTTACTGCACGCTTCAATTTATATTGTCAGATTGAAGGTGCCTTTGTCCAAGGTATTGGGCTTTACACAATGGAGGAACTGAAGTTCTCCCCAGAGGGAGTTCTATGCACACGTGGCCCAGATCAGTATAAAATTCCCGCAGTTTGTGACATCCCAGAACACTTCAGTGTCTCCCTGCTGACATCTTCCCAACAAACAACAGCAATCTACTCATCCAAGGTGAGGCGGTGGACTCCAAGGTGTGGTTCTTTTCTCTGTGAGGTCCCAAGTGAACTGAATTATAGAAGGAAATTACATGACCAAATAATCTGTTGACATTTCAGACTGACTATCATGTTACTCTGTTAAACATTGTCTGTAATCCATTCTATAGTCATTCAGGTGTATGTGTCACTGGAATCAACAGCAATTAAAATGTGAGTAATTGTGGTTGAGATTTATCCACACAGTTATAGTTGTGTGACTTTGGCCTTGATCCAAGGTCACTATTCTTGATGAAACAACCACCTTGAGTGAGTTGCTTCCCCTTTTACACAACCTCACACTGGATTCTTGACTGTGCAGCCACAGATCTGTCTGAAGTTGTGCATGAATTAGGCCATAGCCTATTTTCCTGGCAAGGGCCATTTGCAATAGCAATAATTCTGTGCTGTTTTCCTTCTGTGTGTCCCCAAATTCTACCTTCTTAACAACCCTACAGGTAGGTTACTCTGACAGAACGTGACTGGTTGTACAACACCCAGATCACTTCAGTAGGTAGGTTTCCATGGTCCTGATTGAAGTCCTCTGGGCATGATATTCACTATAGATCTAATTCAGGGACTCTTGTTTAACTATACAGCTAGAGACTTCATAACTGCCTATAATTTCTGTACCACTACAGGAGTACCATTCCCCTCAGTTACTGCCATGTAACTTGTTCTGATTCAGAATTGGTGATGCTACACCTGCACAAACATAATGAAGGGCAGAGTGTGGAGGTGGGGCAAGTTCTCACACTAACAGAGAAAGCTTAATTCCTACCATTAGCATAGCCCCTTCTCTAGATGTTTATCTACCATCTTAAATTTTTAACAAATCTCAAGACAGATTATAAAAAAGAAAAGATATGGAGGAACATAAAACTAGGCAAATGTACTTAGTTTAAAATGCAATAAATAATATATATTAAAATTAGCAATTTCTGGATAAATAGAAAGGTTTTGGTCTGCTTCCGAAATGCATAAACTGGTGGTGCCAGACAAACCTCCCTGAGGAGCATACTTCACAATCAGGTCGCTATTGCTGAAAAAGCCCTTCTCCTAGTTAATGGCCTTCCTCACCTCCTTCAAGGAGGACTCTTGTAGAAGGACCTCTGGAGATGATCTTAAGGTCTGGGCAGGAGTATACAGTTCCTTTAGATATCCAGACCCTAGAAAATTAAGGCCTTTACATGTCATTGTCAACACCTTAAATTGGACCCAGACTTCAATTGGTAGCCAGCGGAGGTGATATAGGACTGGCATAATATGTTCACGTCTACCAATCCCAGTCAATAACCTAGCTGCTCTATTTTGTACCAACTGAAAATTTTGAACCATTTTCATGGGTAGCCCCATGTATAGCACATTACAGTAATCCAATTAAGGTGCTCTTGCCCCCTTTTCTGGGACTTCTTGGAGGAATCCTGGGCTGTCATATTGGAATTACCCACAATGCCTCAGAGTATGACTACATAACCCAGGACACTGGTGGCCATCCAGCGCTCGTTCAAGAGATGCTGCCCCTGGCTCCACCATTCCTCCCCAGAAAGGTGTTGTGTCCTGCCCACGTCTGCAGAAATAAACAGGGGAGGGGAGTAGGATGAGATTGAATGAACTGCCGACCATCTTATGAGATGGACTCACCTGGGCTCCCCTAGTAAACCCCCACCTGGAGCTGGCCCTGCCTCTGAGCATAGGGAGGAGTGTACAATCCACATATGGTGCTATCTACAGTAGGTCCCTACAGGGTCTCACATCAGTCACATGAAAGTGCTCATTCCTCTGGACAGCACCTCCATATTGGCCCTGCTCACTTCCAAATTGATGCTACAGAGGTTGCTATCATGCTATAAGAATATTCTAGGTGCCAAGCTTTTCTCACACAAAATCTAATGGGAAAACATGCCATGTGTGGGGGGACAACCCGTGGTTTTATATAAAATATCTTCCATCCTGAACTTACTTCAAAAGCAGAAGCACTTTCATGGCTTTTGTCTCTTGGACTTTTTTTGCAGGGCCTTGGAGAATCAGCACTTTTCCTGGGCTGCTCAGTATTTTTTGCAATATGGGATGCTGTGGCTGCTGTAAGGAAGGAAAGAGGCTTGTCGGCGGACTTTAAGCTGAACAGTCCTCTGACTTCTGAGCGCATTCGAATGGCCTGTACTGACCAGTTTACTGCAATGGTAAATATACTTGCTCCTGTCAAAATTTGCCAGTGTATCCTCTTTGTCCAGTAAGGGAAAGCAGTCCTGTGCTTTTGAATCAAGAAGCAGGGCTTACCCTCTTCTCAGAGCTACGGAGATCACATCAAGCAATGGCTCTTGAGATCAGGCTTCTTCATAAGTGTTTCTATGGACCAAGGTTGCTTTGGATGCTCTCAGCCATGAATAAGAAGGCCTTAAGTCACATCCTGAATAACTGAAACCTTCCAACAACTCCAAGTTGTAGGCTTCAGCCATAATGGCTGGCATAGCTTCGGATCAATCATGCTTGGAGAGTGTCTCTGATTCTAAACAAATACTGGCTTCCTCTAGCTTTACATGAAACAAACAAAGGTGCCCAAGAAACATGGGCACTGCTTTTGATAAATGCAAGAACCTTGTTAAAGTTCAGAAATACCAGGCCACCTCCATTCTGGCTTTGCTCACTTCCAAATTGATTCCACAGAGGCCACTGTCATGCTGTAAGAATATGCTAAGTGCTGAAATTTTCTCATATAGATGCTAAAGGGAAAAACAGACTCATGTTGTGTGTGCGGGGGGAGAGGGGCAGTTTGGCTATCCTTGGCTTCTTGCAGAAAAGCGTAGAAAAAGATCTAGCTCTAGTAAAGAGGCAGATGTTGTCTCGAGACCAGTCCTGTTGGCTGCCACAGGGCCTTTGTCATGTTCAGGTCCAGGTTTACTGGTGGAATGTCACAGTTCAATACATTCATGTTACGGAGCTTTTTGAACCAAACATTTCTCTAATTCGTTAGGCAACAGCGGGGCATTTCATGTCCTCACAATGGTTATCTGCACATAACATCTGTTGCCTGTTCGCACAGAAACTGAGTCACACTCAGTTTTGATTTTCCTCATACCATAAATACCACTCTTTTCTTCTGGTCCCCAGAGTTCTTTTTTTTCACCCCAGGAAAACTCAGCCTAAATATACTCAGAATGGTTAACAGATTTACATGAGACAGAATTCAGTCATTCCAGGCTAGATACAGAAACTGCTTCTTCAGGGAATCTTTTTTGGGGAAGGTCTACCTAGTGCAGTGGTGGCGAACCTATGGCACATGTGCCGCAGCGGGCACGCAGAGCCCTCTCTGTTGGCACACGAGCCAAGTCGCCCCAGCATCGCCCCAGCAGCCGAGCATCAGATAACAGCGCACTCAGGGACTATGCGCATGCTCGGAAAGGAGTAGCGGCACCAGGTGATGATGTCACAAGCAGCGACTCATTAGCCGCGACTCGTCCAAGTTTTCACATGGCGGGTCAGTGTACTGCCAAGGATTTATATATATTTGCTTGGACTGGCTACAAGTTGTTTTTTCTGAACTAAAACCTCAGTATTCCGGTTTTATTGCAGTGTTGGCACTTTGCGATAAATAAGTGGGTTTTGGGTTGCAGTTTGGGCACTTGGTCTCTAAAAGGTTTGCCATCGCTGCCCTAGTGCAATGGATAAGTTGAGATGATGTATCGGACAAGAGGTGGAGGTTCTTTGGGCACAGATTTCATTTCTGCTATTTTTCCCAGTCCCTATGGGTACATTTGGGAATCACTGCAAAACGTACTAGGAAGTCCCTGTCAAAGCATCTTTTAGAAAGACCATGTCCATGCAGCAATCTAAGCACACAGATTGACAAGGACCACATTGCTCCAGTACTTCCCAGGGATCTTTGACTTGTTTTCAACTTCTCATTCCTCAGTGACTCGCCTTCTTTGAGGAGAGAGGAAAATTCGACTTGCTGTAAATGTTCCTTCTGCCCTAGTGATGGAACAGCAGTTAAGTCCCACCCCTTAGTTTGAGACTAGAGAATTGGATTCATAGCCATATGTCTTCTGAAATTAGAAATTTCAGGTCCTGTGTGCGATCCTTCCCCTTTTTCACTCTCAGTACTAGTGTTTTGTTTTTTGTTCTTTGATGCTGTTGTTTTAATTTATGCTCTGTCTCTTGGTTATAAAGTTACTTTAAGGCAGTTTGCAGTTCTAACATGTTCCACCGGGTTCTCAGGAACTGAAGTTATCATTTGGGAGAACAAAGCCACTGTATGCATGGCAATAGCAGCTTTTATGTCTTGTCTCTCCTGACAAAGGGAAACACAAGTTAATCCACGTCTACCTTAGTGAACGGTTGCCCAAGAAGGACCATTTTATTTGTTTTTTTATTTCAATTGCTATATCCCATCCAGTTTCCATGACATATAAAGCTCTATTGATACTATCTTTGGCATAACTGCAGTAAGTTAAGGTTGTATTTAAAAAATTTTCTCTCTGCCTATGCAAAAGGGTTTTTTTTTTTTATAATTGATTCATTTTTGTTGCTGCTTTGTTGCCATCTGATTTACTATACGTAGTCCAAAAGGCCCATGATTTATTACAATACTGGCAGATCAAAACAGTTTGTACCTGAGCTGGAAATGTACATAGCATGCTCTTCTCTCTTCCAATAATAAGCACAAGCATCATCCACTGAAAGTTTTCCTGCACAAACCCCACTGAAATGATGGGGAGCTGTGCAATTCCTGTGCATTTTACTAAAAAAGTTTGCCACAGGAAAACATATCAATAGATTGTACAGCTGACCTTCCATTCTGCATCCCTCAATGATACTCCAAATCTCCTGTCTGCAGCAGCTGCCCCTCTTTGTCTCCCAGTGCTACTGAGTCTGTTTCACAAAAATCAAAGATGATTTAGAAAGAAAGCTTGGTACTGGCTTCTTCAAAATAAATTGCTCCATTTACACTTTGTTCATTCTCCCAGATCGCAAAGGATGAAAACAAGCCCTTGGAATGAGCACTAGGACCTGGTGAAAATTGCTGCTCATCTGGCACTGAGCATTAAATAAGTTTGCCAACAAGAGACTGACGGTGGCGAATTTGATCTGGAATGGTAAAATCATCTCAATTGAAGGTTCGGGAGCCCTTCAAGAAGACACCCTGCAAGACTCCAAACTCTTTATTTTAAAAAGCTTCATATTCCAGACTCCTGGCCCATGGGCAAAAAGTCCTGGAAATTGAGATTGTTTGCTAATTGATACCAGGACATCACAATGCCTCTAATTTTGAACTTGGTTTTGGAAGAACTAACAAATAATATTAACCCTTTTTTCTGAAATTAGGGTCTAGAATATTTCCTGAACTTGGAACTTTATTTCTGAAAATAGAACTGAATTATTTCATTATATAAGTTTTTTCCCTCACTCTATCTTCTGCATTTGACTAAATTTAGTTCTTCACATGCCCAGAGCAAATCAGTAATCCCTCAGCTTAGCTTTATGCATTCAAGCAAGGTCAGAAGGAAGTAAAAAGGGGAGTTAGCAATTTTGGCATGGGTCAGTTTAGTGCTCCACTGCGAGTTAAAGGCAGGAGGATTGAGGATGAGTGATATTATTTAAACAGTAACATTAGAAACTCACTTTGTTATCTTGCTCACTTTATTTGTGGTAGCAGCATTGTGCATTGTAGTCCTTTTCGGCTGCAGTCCAATCTAGATGAACAGGGCCTCCAAACTTGGAGGCTGAAGAGCTTCCAGTGAAGAATGGAAGTGGCAGAAGCAATCTGCTTCTCTCTGCTCTTCCCACTCTTTTTCTCTAGACAGCCATTTTCAGCCCTCTTGCCAAGGCACTGCAGAAGACAGAGGCTACTGTATCGTGCTCTCTGCACTCCTCCCCTCCATGTCCACCAAACCTGCCCTTTGCCCCTTCTCTGAGATCGTGTGCCTGGCCTCAGGGCAGCACCCAGCCATGGTTATTTCTGCACTGGGATGTGGAGGGGGCTGGTGCACAGAGGACCTCCTCCAAGGTCCGGGCTCTGTCTCCATTCTTGGATCAAAGAATCCACAGTATCTTGTACCCCCCATAGGATTGCTTCTTAAGTAATCTTTATATTACATTCTATTTCATGGCTGATCATATAATCACAGAAAAAGTTTCTAATACTCATATAACCTATTCTTAATTTTTGTAATTTTCTTAACTAAAACATGCAATGGATTTCAGTGTGCATTTTAGTCTGTGGGGAGGTTTGTTTAGCCCTAATTTGGTTACCCACTAGGGTGTCTGGAACCCAATTAGTATAGGTTCTAAAGTTAAACAGCACTGATTTAACAAAGTGATCTCTACATTTCCCTCTGTTTAATTAATGAAAGCAGTGCAGTTTATTTCGATCCTTGGTTTCTCCTGGGGAATATCTTGCTGCTTTCATATTTATTTGCATGGGAAACTGATTCTTACTATTTTCAGATGGTTTGAAACTAAAGAGTTACAGTTTAAAGAGCCAGCAATTCAGATATTTTCAATCTATGTATAAAATTCACTCTCCTATCTCTATTCTGCCTCCTTGCTTCCAATGCCTTTTTCAACAGATCAACTGATTGATTCCCTAACTGTCTAACAGTATGATTTAGCAAGAATTCTCCAGCCCTTGGTTACATCACAATATGATAGACCGAATAGAATTTACATACATGCAGTTAGGCATGTATGTAAATTCTATTTGAGGGATGAAAATAAAACAGATTTTCCCAGTTAAGCCCTGCAGATTTCATTCCATGCCCCACAACTACTGGTGTTGAGCTATTGGTCAGGCCAATATATAGATTCTGGTTTTTTTTTTTTGGGGGGGGGGTTAAATGAAGACAATGTATGCAAATTTTGATTCACTTCCTACTTTATTGCCTTTAAATATGATCTATGATGAAATAAATCACAGTATTGCAAGAATTGTTATTTACTGTCCAGAGACTTGGCTATTGGTCAGTATAGGAATTGAAAGACAGACAGACAGACAGACAGACAGAAAGACGAATTTTGCTGTGCAAAATGTTTACAAGATACAGTTATTTTCTATAAACTTCTAGGGAGTGTACATTAAGATTGGCCATACTTCCTGAACATGAAGCATTGGCTAACATAAATTAAGAGCATTAAAATACTTCACAAATTTGTCCATGTAAGATGGTTTATGCTACTATATAGTTTGTGCTACTTTTAGTGAGCTGCTATTTGAATAAGTACCTTGTCATGATGTTTTAAATGTAGCATGAATTTAAATTCATTAATTATAGTACGCCAGTAATAAATCATGTAAGTAGTTCTGCTTAACACCTTTTGTTTAATAGCTCTTGTATAATAACTTGCCCAAGGCTGAATTACCTGAGTTGTACTTCATTTTCTCTTGGCTGAACCAAACAGTTTTTATCAGCTTTGTAGTATGCATTGCTAAATTAGTCCCTGTTGTGTCTGTGAGTGAGTGGCTTTCAGGAAAGTCAGCAAAGGATCCCAGATACTCATTCTTCTTGCTTGCTTGCTCTTTTTAAATTTTATTTTATTTACAAAAACTACATAACAAAACTATACAAATAACATAAATTGCATAATACATAGACTAAAGATTATACATAGCAACATAGGCTAAAAATATATGTAACATCATAAACTAAAACTATACATAACAACATGGTGCTCCCATCACCCTCCAGAGTACAGCGTACAAAAGATCACCGATGTACCCCGTGTCTCTCCCTTTGTTTCTCTAATATCTATAGTAAAAAAAATCCATATATAGTGGTACCTTGGCTCACGAACCTAATCCGTTCCACAATTCTGGTTGCAACCCAAATTGGTCACAAGCCAACTCAAGTTTCCCCATAAGATTCAATGTAAATAAGGTTAATCTGTTCTTTACCATAACTTTATGCTATACATAAAGGACAGCATATAAAAGTTTAAATAAATAAATATGTAATTTTTTTTAAACCACAAAAATACAGTATGAGACACGTCCCCGGGCTGCGGGCCAAGCCACAGCCACCTCGCCAAGCCCAGGGACAGATGCAGTGGGGAGAGGCGGGAGGCACCACGCTCGGCCATCTGCAGCCCCGTCCCTTGCCTCCCCTCGCCTCAGCCCACGGAAAGCAGCCCTTATCTCCTTCCTCGCAGCCCTGTCCCGGCTGGGGAAGCCGTCCCGCACCCACCTTTCCGGCCTCCTGCTCCTACTCCCCCTCCTGGAGCCGGGTGAGCACCTGCGAGGGGACCTTTCTCCGGCTTGGAAGCGGGGCAGTGGTGAGGAGCTGGGAAGTCCTCAACTGAAGTGAGCGCACCCCCATGGCTCCCCCTTGTGGTGGGTGGGGAGAAGGTTATTATTTGGAGTGTTTGTGCAGGGAAGATGGCCAGGATTGCGATTGTCACCCATTGCAGAGTTTGCGACCTGAGGCTAAATTTTTCCAAAATTTCTGCTCATCATTATCATTATTATTATTATTATTATTATTATTATTATTATTATAACATTTCTATGCCGCCCCTTGCCGAAACCTCGGGGCGGCTTACAACATGATAAAATACATTGAAATACAATAGTACATAATAAATTACCATTAAATATAACAATACAAAAAATACATTGATTTACAAGTACAAAATTAAAATTATCAGTATAAGATAAAAATATAGGAGGAGAAAGAGAAGGAAGAAGAAGTTGCCCAGGCCAGATCATATGTTTTAACAATTGAAATGATGTTTAAATAAAAAGGTCTTTACCTGGCGCCGAAAAACCAGTAACGACGGTGCCAGGCGGACCTCTTTGGGGAGTGAATTCCATAGGTTGGGCGCCACCGCAGAGAAAGCCCTCCTCCGGGTACTTACTCTCCTAATTTCTTTCATGGAGGGTTCCCGGAGAAGGGACTCTCCCGCAGATCTCAAAGGGCGGTCGGGCATATACGGACGTAAGCGCTCGTTCAGGTAGCCAGGACCCAAGCCGTTTAGGGCTTTGTAGGTCATAATCAACACCTTGAATTGGGCCCGGGCTTCAATGGGAAGCCAGTGAAGCTGACGGAGGACTGGAGTCATGTGAGCATAACGCCCCGTCCCCGTCAGCAACCTGGCAGCTCTATTTTGCACCAATTGAAGTGTTCGGACTGTCTTCAGGGGAAGCCCCACGTAAAGCGCGTTACAGAAGTCTAGGCGGGAAGTCACCAGCGCGTGTGTCATGACCCGAACTGCTCATGAACTGAGGTGTTTGTGAGCTGAGGTACCACTGTACTTGTAAAATCATTTATTTTCCTTTCCCCTCTCCCGATTTTCAAATCACATGTTAATTTGTCATTAATGGCTAAGTTCCACATTTCGTTGTACCAGTCAACAATGTTGATTAAATCTATAGCTTTCCAATTTTTAGCCATTAGTAATCTGGCAGTGGTAACCATAATGATAATCAATTCTTGTTGTGCTCTGTCTAATTGTGAATCCAAAAAAGTATTCAAATAACCAGGCACATCAAAATCTTTCTATACATAATATCACTAATTTCCTTAAATATCATTGCCCGTTCTTTCTGTTTAATATTGCACAACCACCACATAGGATAGTAAGTCCCTTGTTCTTTTTTGTACCTCCAACAAAGAGGCGTTATTTCAGTATTAATTCTGATCAACCTTACCGGTGCAGTATGCCACTTCCAAATTACTTTAAAACAGTTCTCCTTTACTCTGATCAACATACTCTTTGTAACTGAGAGCCAGTGTGATGTAGTGGTTAAGAGCATGGGACTGGGACTCAGATGATCTGGGTTCTAGTCCCCGCTCGGCCATGGAGCCAACTGGGTGACTCTGGGCCAGTCACAGACTCTCAGCCCAACCTACCTCACAGGGTTGTTGTTGTGGGGATAAGATGGAGGAGCAGATGTAAGCTGCCTTGAGCCCTTTGTAGGAAAAAGGCAGGATATATTGGAAAATAAAAATAAATAAATCTATTATTCCATAGTTTCAACCAGTTTACTTGACTAATATTTTTACTCATATCATCTTGACAACTTTCCAAAAGTCTACATCGCCCATACTGCCCTTCTATTAGCATTTTATATATTATACTTGTAATTCCTCTATTACTACTCTCTTCCTTCTCTACCAGTTCTTCAAATTTAGTTAATTTTCTTATTTCACCAAGTGTTTTCCTCGTTTCCACCACCCAATTTTGTAACTAAATCATCTTCCAACCCAAACCCTTAAATTCTGCACATATTTGACCCATTTTCTCTTTATTATCCAAAATTTTTAACCAGTCCTTCAGTCTAAATATGTTCAGTTCTCTTAATACTCTCTGTAACTTGGGAATTCTTGGGAATTTCACATTCTTGGGAAAATTCTTCATTGCAGTTACTGGAGTTAATGGGGAAATTACCGGGCTTAAAATCTTCCTATTATATCTCCACAATTCCAACATATTCTTTAGAAATGGATTTTCTATTTTCTTTAAATCTAGAACATTTTCCTTCCTAAATAATTTTTATTCCATATGAATTCTATCCTTTTTGAATGTAACATCACCCCAAAGTAACTCTTTGTAGATCATCATATCTAAAATATATCTTATTTGATTTGTTAAATAGTAAGTTTTAATATTTGGTAAGCCTAATCCTCCTTCCTTTTGGTGTTTGTAACATAAATTTTTATTAATTCTAGCCTTTTTCCCCATTACAAAAGGAATTAATCATATTCTGCTAACTTTTCAAATTAGAATCTGCAATCTTAATGGGCAGCATCCAAAAAAGGAAATTAATTTTGGAAATTATCTTCATTTTGTATACCGCAATTCTACCAAACCAAGATCATTTGACCTTATCAAACTCCTTAATATAGTCCTATATTTGTTTTTTAAGGCAATCCATATTCAATTTTGCCATTTTGTATATATCCCATGTAATATAAATTCCCAAATATTTTATTGTATCCCTCCTTTCCCTTCAAATAAGTCTTTCAGTTTGGCCTTATCTTCTTTGCTATAATTAAGTAACATAATTTCAGATTTGTCCCAATTAACTTTTAGTCCAGTTATCTCCTCAAATTCTTGTAAATGCAGCTTAAGTCTATCTATAACTTTTATAGGGTCTTCTAAAGTCAATAGGGTATCATCAGCAAATAAATTTACCTTAACTTTCTCTTTAAATCTAATTCCGTTCAGTTCTGCATCTTGCCTAATTACAGTAGCTAATAATTCTATAACCATCACAAATAAAATGGGAGACAAGAATATAATAGAGAAATAGAAAAAAATCCACTTATGCCCAATGCCTTCTTAAGTAATATAGGTAGAGTAGTAAAGAATAATAAAGAGGGGCTCTCTCCTGATTTTCCTCCAAAATTAATTCTTATCCGTTCACATTCTTATCTTAAAGACACTAGGACTCTTTTCGTATAATACTATTGTTTGCAGTCTTCTACTATGTTGCTGCTCTGAAAAGTTTCAGTAACACTCAGGAAGAAATCTGAGTCCATTAGTCACACATTTCAGATCCTCATTTCAACAGTCTTCACCCCTCTTATCTTGCTAATTCACATTAATAATTATCAGTATACTTTACATAAAGTTTAGATAGTATCAAAATCTTGGCATACATAAGTGTAAGCAGGCCTCAACAAACATTTCATCAAGACAGGATCCCCGTTCTTAAGCAGCCATCTTCCAAGTTGGCAAGCTCCTTCCCCAATATTCATTCTAATTAAAGGAAATAGACATTACAAGAAACACTATAGATCACTATAGAATGAATCCAGTTTCTGGATTCAGTGAATCTAGTTAGACTGTGGGTGCTTTCAGATGGAGGGTTCCTAACACTACCAATGAGAAAGTATTATGCCACTCTTCAGTCTTTTCCTCCTTAACCAAGTTTTACTGGTAAGAAAAAAGATGGAAGAAGCTATGGTAAAATAGAAGAGGATTAGTGGAGGACATCTGCCCTCCTCCTCTAGTAAAATTCCATCAGTAAGGTAGGGTGATTGCTCAGTAAAAGGATTTTCTACAAGTACCCCTTGACCCTAAAAAGAAGAAACAAAACTAGATAGGTAGCTAGCTAGCCTGAGGACGATGTCCCTATCTCTTTCTGTCTGTCTCTCTATATATACATATATAGCCTGAGGAAGGTTACTCAAGCAGAGGCTTGAAAAACTAATTCTAGTTGTCTTGTGTGACTGCTGTCCTTGTTTTACA